GAAGAGGTGGGGAGAGGGGAGGTTCCAGCTCTCCTGCTGTAGTGTTCGGTTTTCAGAAATTAGAAAGTTGGCAATCCTAGCTCTGAGATGCACTTCTTTTATATATATGTACCCTAAAGTTGCAACAACTTTTTTTGGTGTCATATCCCCAGTGCAAAGTCACGTTTAATTTGCTGTCTAATCTCAATCTTAATTCTTTCAGCATTATTGCTTTCTGGGTTTACCCTTTCCATTGAATATTTTAATTATTTCACTCCCAGGGGTGCTGGAACAGTTTTTGGAGTGGGAGTGCTGAACTGCACCCCTCTAGCCCCTGTCCATGCCCTCACCACCCCCTAGAACTGGGGCCAGTAGCAGGGCCATGACTCCAGGAGGGGGGGCAGGGCCAGAGCTAGGCGTGGGTGCGGAGTCCCAGGGACCCCGGGGCTGGCAGTGGAGCCCCCGGGCATGGGATCGGCAGGACCCTGAGGCCGGCAGCAGAGCCCCTAGGCAGTAGCAGGGCCGATGGCCAGGACGCCAGGCGCAGAACCTGGGGGTGCTGAGGCATCCCCCGCATCCCTACTTCCCAAGCCTATGTTCACTCCAGATTTCTTAACTAGTGTTTTTCCAAGTTTAATCTTATTTTGTTATTTCCAGTCTTACTAGATAAATCCTTTTGAATTATTTCCTTTTCCTCATTTAATTTTGGAACACCTGCAGTTTTTATCATCTGAAAATTTTATTATTATGGTAACTAGCCCATTTCTTTTTGTCATTTTAAAAAACGGAACCCCAAAGAACTTATGATCTCAGGGCCTAATTCTGCAACTCACGCCAAGTAGCACTTACTTATGACAGGAGTCTCATTAAGTGGGACTAGTTACTCAGCATGCATAAGCATTGTAAAAATCAGGCCCTAAACAAGGTTGTAAATGAGACTGGACATAAACTTCAGCACCTGCTAGACATCATCCCTGCAACTCAACACATCATTATCATTACAATTTGGTTACAGTTCTTCAGCTCATTTCCAGTCTATGTGGCGCTGTCCATACCTAGGAAAATCTAATTAAATGAGGAGAGTAAGATTTACTGAGACATCAGAAAAGCTTCAATGATATTTGAACACTGTACAGTTATTGAAACTACCGTTTTTTGTAATTCTGTCAAAAATGCAAATAAATGTATCTGGCAAGATGTGTTCATGATTAACTCATGATCCCATTGCTGATGATTCTATTAACCTGTAGATGCTTAGAAAGTTTTTCTCAGTATTTTTTGTATTATTTTACTGGGGTTCGGAGCAATTCTTTTTTCACGAGGAATCGCTGGGAGATAATTATCAGGAGGATGATTATTCTTTCCCTTTTTAGAAGAAAAGAGGACATTGATCTTCTCACATCTTATAACTCAATCACTACTGTATTCAAGTACTTCTGTTTAAAAATCACATGGTGCTGCCCAAGGAACATGTTTAGTTAGTAATCCAACACAAATTTTCTTCTTAACACAGTCACTCTCAAAACGCCAGGGTTGGGTATCACAAAAATACAACATATGAAAACTATGGAAACATACACATATCAACCTTTTCATTATATTACTAATTCCTGAAGTTTCTCCCTTTTGGTATAAGAATTTTATGAGCATATAGGTGCATGGAAAATTATAGTTGTATATATGAACCTTTTGAGCTTATCCTGTCAATCCCTCTCCATTCCTTTCCTATTTCCAAACAATAGCCTGACAGATTCCTTCACCCAACAGGCTGACAGATCCTCAGGTCCCTAGAGTGCTCTGTTCTATCTTGTTTTCCCCACCAGCAATCACTTGCTTCAATGGTAAGACAACTCCCACCTGTTCATGCTCTCTGTATGTGTGTATATATATCTCCTCAATATATGTTCCACTCTATATGCATCCGAAGAAGTGGGCTGTAGCCCACGAAAGCTTATGCTCTAATAAATTTGTTAGTCTCTAAGGTGCCACAAGTACTCCTGTTCTTTTTGCAGATACAGACTAACACAGCTGCTACTCTGAAACTTGCTTCAATGAACTCCCTCTGGCAGGGGTCTCCAACAAAATGTTCTGTCCCTTTAAGAAAGTCACCAAACCTTTACTTTGGGTTTAAAGGGGAATCTTTATTCTCTCTCACATCCAATAAAAGTTGCTTAGGACTTTCCACCCTACTCCAGCTTTTTCTCTTCTCTAATGTCACCTCCCCACTACATTACCTGTTGTGAGGTCCAGCAGCTGCCTTTGTCAGGCTCCAGTATTTCTACTTTCCATTCACATCACATTACCACATGCACAGTACGGTTTGATGCCAAAGTGCACATGTGCAAAGTAATGATGCAGCTAGACCTCACAATGCCCCCAGAAGGGTACAGTGGCATGCATCATACCTAGTCTCTGTGTGTGTTGCATTTAAGTATAGAGAGAAAGAGGTCTGGCAAAGGTTGGGTCACAGCAGGCTGGTGAAAACCAAATGCCTATGGCGTGTGGAGAGACTCTAGAGAGCCTTAAGGCCTGTGGGAGATGAAAGTCACGGTGATCTCTCTGTACATTAGGGGATGGAGCTGTGACAATGAAGTAATTGGGGACCTGTTTATGGGGTACTGTTACCTTAATAGGAACCTTAAAAATGGTTTGTTTTGGAGAAACAGCTGAATGATACAGTTCCTTATGAAAACCAGTTTACATATCCCTAGTATTCTTGTATGGATATATTTATTTATATAAAATAAAATTTTTCTTCTTAACCCAGTCACCCTCAGACTCCAGCATATCACCCTCAAATGCCATTACACACACACACACACACACACACACACACACACACACACACACACACACA